CATTTCAAAAACAGAAACGGGACTTCTTTAAAGCAAAGAACCCATGTAATGGAAAACCTTTAAAAGAAACAGAAGTAGTGACTAACTGAATGGGCGAAAAGTCACACACTGCAACTAGTTACATTAAGCCTTTCTTATCTTGTTAAAATCTAGGCTGTGGAAGGTCTGAACAAGGTCACGGAAAAGAGCGTCACTTTTTCAAATGTTGCAAGATTCAAGATAGACAGTAAAGCATGTAAGTGTGATGCGGTTTAATAGCTATTTTACTGGCTTTGAGTAGGTGTGAGGCTTATTGCTAAAACCCAAACTCTCTGACGGATCCAAGCTGAGCTCCACAACTTGATTTGTTGTCATAAAAATGCAGCAAAAAATAACTTTGTAGTTCTGTGATTATACGGTTGAATCTTCGAAAGATATACACTTTTACCTCAAATTACTGTCATAGTTGTAATAGTGCATGCACTATAACTGGCTGCACTAGGGCTGGGCAATAGTAGCATATTAACTGAAATTAGCATGCTAACCAGCTAGTTCAATCAGTCTAATCTACTGAACGTTTTTGCAAACGATGTGTATATCATAATACATTTAACTATTGTTTTATCACAGAGGCATAGGCTTTACCAAACTTTCTAAAAATCTAGCTGTTGTTTACTATTAAACAAAAAGATCAACCATCAAAATTGGTGGCGCTAGAGATCACTTAAGTCAAATAGCTTTAACCTCTGAAAACAATAAATGTTTGTGATGTTTTGGCCATCATCCAATAGCAACACCCTGATGCAAGTGTGGCTTTTAAAAAATGTGCAGTACTTACAATGTAGAGGTAGGATGGGTAGGCGGTGCGAGGATATCTCAAGACCCATGGAGGGCTGCCAGTCTGCATGTGAATGATGGTGGTGCCCAAGCTGTAGATGTCTGTCTTGGTGTTATGTCCTCGACACAGAACCACTTCTGGACTCATATACATCTAAAAAAGAAAAGAATGATGACATAACATTTATTAGATTGAATACCACTGCAGAGGATAATAGTGAGAAAAGGTATGACGGACTCTTTTATTGGTTTTCAATTCAAATTTAAAAAATCAATCACGTTTTATTTATGGCCCAATACCACAAATGACACATAGGCTTAAGGGGGCTTTACAATCTGTACAGCATAGGGAACCCTGTGTAGGGACTATGTATCATTGCTAAACAAAACAGGAAACTACCTCTTGCAGTCAAATGTTTTTTTCTTTAAAAAAACAAACAAGATAACCTTTAGGCCCACGCTGTGTGTGACCAGCTAATGGCAGTGCAGAAGCGTGTTGGCCTTTGGAGAGTGAAAAGTAAACACAATATCAGAGTTCATCTCTGGAAATTCCAGCCTGCTTTCCCATGTTAAAGTAAGCCTGAGCAGCCCAGTGTGTTTGGTAGCTCTGTCTCTTATTATTACTGCTGGGTGTCTGCCCTGGGACTTTCCACAAGCCAAGCCTTGAGAGGCCTAGGGTGCATGTGCAAAGACCCATATAGACAAAGGTCAAAACATGGGAAAGCCAGGAAAATACATGACGTCAGAAAAAGCATGTGAGCAATCTCTTGGATTAATCTTAAAATGTCCAAAGTGCTGATTACATCTGTAATGAGAACCCTCGGCATGAGCAGACTATTATTAACATCAGTGAGGTCGATGAGTGCGCTGACTGCTCTCCAACTTGCCTATCATTTGCTTTCAATCATTTTGAAAAAGACAGACACAAGTATGAAGACTGAGAGTCAAAAAGAGCACTGCCTTTTCCAGTAAAAACCCACACTAAGGGTTAGATAGAAATACAAGTAATGATTGGACCAAGCATTTACAAAGAACAAAATACATTATGGCTTTAAGTAATTAGTATGGGCTTACAGTTGCAGCCTTTAGGACTTAAGTTCTTACCTCAGTTCCTCTCAGGTCTCTGGGAATGTATATATCCTCTGTCATTTGCACCGTCAAGCCAAAGTCCACCAACACTGCCTTGTCTGACATCAGGACAATGTTACTGGCTGAATAAAACAGACAAAATAATAGAAATGAGACACACCATTTTCATTGTTTATGCTTTGCAGTGCAGGTTAGCATATGAGATAATAATTATGCACTTACAGGGAATTTAACTGGGAAAAGGCCAGTGAAGTCAAGCATGGAACGTGCGTTTAGCAAAGTCTTTGATGAAAAGTATCATCATTAGACATCTCTAAGGTATAATTACATATTTTAATCTCAGGCAGGAAGCACTAAAAACCGCAGCTAGGCAGAGGGCCAGTCTGGTCGTTGTCATGAGTCACTTGCCTCTCTGGACCTTACATTTAACACTGAGCAAGCATGAGAGGCAGGCTGGAATTTCCCAACTGTCTTTAGGCCATGAGGTTGACAGCCAGCTCTGGAGAATGCTTTGATCCTTGCAGCGCCATGTAATTCAACTAACGTGAAACTACCTCACATCCTACCTCTGCTGAGCCCCACCCACTGATATTAGAATGTTTTTTGTAATCTAGATCATTAGCTACCAGACAGTGTGACATGGCTACACTTCCTCAAAATGTGTCAGTCAAATTCTATGAGGAGGAAACTCATAATACTATGTCTATTATAGTGTGGAAGAATGTCTGTGTCGGATATGTGTGGTTTTGCACTTCTGTTCCTCTAGTATTATTCACAAAAAATGTATCCGTCTGTGGCTTGACTTTGACGTATGGTGCGTACAAACTGACATTACATTATTTCCTGAATGATGTGCACAAGCTTACTGCAACTCAATAACACCCGACAAGTGAAAAACACATTTTTTACTCTTACGTTTGATGTCGTGGTGGATGACGTTGTGTGAGTGCAGGTACTCCAGGCCCCGCAGGACTTGCTTGGTCACCCAGATGATCTCAAACTCCCTCATGGGCCCACAGCTGTCAAGTTTTTCCAGGACCGAGCCCCCCTCTCCGGCCTCCATGAACAGGTGGACACTTTGGTCCCAGAGCACGGCGCCGTAGAGCTCAGCAATGTTCTCGTGCCGAAACCTGGCCTGGAACTCCACATCGGCTGCTTTGAAGTGCTCCATAGGGATCTGTGAAGATAGTAATGTAAATATGTAATGCATCATAACAGGTCTGTCTTCTAACATGCAGGAAATCTATTGTAACTCAGACACCAAACATACTGTAATAACTGCTGCCAGTAAGCCGTCACTGTGTGTTTAACAAGGTGTACAATACACTGTGTCCATTCTCATGATAACACCAGACTGTATGACACAACTCCTTTCTCATATGTCAATATTTTCCATGTAAACACGCTGTTCACCCCCTCAGGTTAATAATGCAGGGTCAGAAAGATAATAAAAGAGTGGAATGTGTTTTGAAAGCTCTGCTGGGAAATTAGGAGTTACATCACATGCTGATTTATCTCTTTCATTATGAATTTGACAAAAACATCCTGAGAAGCAGTGGAATCTGTTCAATTTCCATTCTTGCATTAATCTTGGTCCATTTTGTAAGTTTAGTTTGTTGAAAAAAAAGAATGGTTCTTCTTTTACTAGCTGTGTTCCTCTTTTACTTCAAGGGAAAACAAGCAGATGCCATACTGACATTAACATTCTTTGTACAAACACAGGAGTAGATGCTTGGTAAGCAGAGATGACTTGGCAAAATAAATATTTGGCAACTATTGTAAGACTTTCGAGAAGTCAGTGCAGGCTGAATTCCAGCTGTTGCGCAGCAGGCCTCACCAGTTTGCAAGCCATTCTCTTCCTGGTGTTGGTGTCCTGAGCCAAGTGGACTTTCCCAAATGATCCCTTAGGCACAAGGCTAGTGCCATGATTCTTGTAGGTCAGCTTCCATGGAAAGAGGAGCACGTCTATGTTGATCTGGTAGCGGCCTTTTTTAACAGCCATGTCCTTCTGCAAGGTCAGTTAAGGAACAGTTATAGAATGTCCATGCACACAAATACTCATTGTTGTTATCAAAGAAGCACAGTCAAAAGACAAAATAAGTCTTCTTACCTTGTTCAGTAGGACTCCAATCTCCTCAGGTAGATGCTGCATGGCTGCTGTCTGCATGTTGGACAGCAGGTTGACAAAAGACAAGAGGTCTGTCACTGTCCCGTACCGAACACCACCAACCTCATCATCATAGTCCTTTTGCTGACTCCCCGAGACCCCTGTCTCCTCATTTTCGTCCATCTCCTCCTGGGAGAGACTTTCCTCTTCCAACGACAAGCCTCCTTCCTCCCCGTCTTCTTCAAGCTGATAAAGAGTCTCTGCAGCGTTGATGATGTCTTCTAAATTCATGTGAGCCAACAACAATTCTAATCCATTGTCATATTTATAATCCATCTTGATGCTTGACTTGTGCTGCTCACCCTGAAAATGAAACATCAGGAGGTCAGCTGGCAGGAGGAGCACAGTGGGGAGGGGCTAACCAGGCTGTGAAGGGAGTTTCACAGTAGGCTACAGATGGGAAGCCCCCCCAGCCAAACTGGCAACTTATTTTATATCTATATAACAGACTGCTAAGAAAATGTTGTGTCAAATAGAAAAACATGAATAATTGTTGAGCTGTGAATAAGAACCCAACTCATTCTACATGCAAATAACACACATCTTATCTGCAAAAATATTTGTTGAGAGTCATTCCATTTCTATAAAAGCTCAAATTTAAAGAAATAGCCCAAGCGACGAAGTTACTTATATGTGACGTAATGTACAAATGTAGTCAGGATACCTGCCTAAAGAAAAGTATAGTATTTATGTTGTATATTACAGCCAATCTGTAAAGTTAGCTGCTATTTGGTAACCAAACAACTTGTTATTGATAATGGAAAACTTACCGTAATAATCTTTGAAACGGAAGCTTTAAGTGCCGCTCCTCTCTTCATCGTCTCGAGCGTCTGACTGACTGGAAGGGGACGGACGGTGTTAAGAAGGAAGTAAACAGAGGAACTGCAGTCGACCGGTGCGTAGGAGGAGGTATTCGCTGAATGTCAATTGCCAGAGCATTACTCTCTGTAGGTTTCGTTTTCCCTTTCTTTTGTTTTCTCATACGAAAAACAAATTTCATGTGGCTTGAATGCTGAAACAGGGCTTCACCTTCTACAGAAATGTTGGGTGTTTTCCTGTGGGAAAAAATGTTTTGTTGCTTTAAATGTAAAACTTTGAATACAAACAGCAATATAATACTCGAACGATTAAATGCATTAGTCATAACTTGATTAGAACAAATTAAATGTATTAATATAAAATGATATAGCTTACTACAGTGGATTTATGACATATAAAACATACATGTAATACTCAGACAAATGTTAAACGTCACAATGTGTGTGATTTTGGTACCTCTCTGTTGCCGTAGACAAAACCATACGCATGCGCATTTCCCTTCTTTTTGATCAGCAATGGCGTCCTCCTTCACGGTGTGCAGGTTACATACGATAGGAAGAGGCAGCCTGGTGAAGTGCCTACAGAAGGTCGATACATTTCTTCACAGGAATATTGGAACAAACGTTGTTGCTGTGCAAGGTGAAACCCGTGAAACACGAGTTATTAACACAAGCTGTCAAACAAACCAAGTTAGCCTACGTGAAAACCATGTCTCACGTGTAGTGACTCCTATTCAAACTTCATTTAGAAATGTGTATTTTTTAAGTTGCCTTTGAAAAACTCGTAATTGTTTTAATTGAAATGAACAACTGAGGGAATCATTAGGGTCTCGGCTAAATTCGGGATGTCGTTTGTCCACCAAAGTGTCTTAGTGAAGTAAAGTCACCTCTGTCAGGTGATTCTAGCTTTCATTTCATATACGATCATATTATAGATGCTGCTTTGTGGATGATTTATATGCCGAATTGGAAGAGTTGTTTTAAATATGTAACAAGACGTGCAATGTGATGTATGTGATTTGTGGCTTCCTTAAATATTCAAGTACCACATACTGTACAATTGTCGTTTTTTTTAAATTAAGTTTGGCGCTGCGATCTGTTGCCATTGAAGTCCACACTTGTTAGACAAAAAAGTGCAAGTATTTACCAGATAATACTGCAAAGTCCTTCTGACAACAATGACAATAATTAAGACAAATGAAAATGATTGTTGTGGTTTCATTGTTGAATATTCTGTTTCTCTATTTTTAAGAAGAAAAGAATGGATTCAAATCTTTGTATGCTGTCCATGCAGAGAGACAAGAACAGGCAGAGAGATCTGTTCTCATCAGCTGCCACTCAAGAACCAATGAGAAAAATTTCCTCAAGTATATAGCAAATTACGGAGATATCCAGAAATACTTCTTTTATGAAAGCTTTGTAAGTGAATCACTAATCTCCTCTTATAAATTAGCATTGTTTTCCAGCATACATGTCCAATTTACTGTTAGTTTTCATTTGAAACATGACATTGTTTGTATTGGTGTTCTTCTATAGGGAATGTATGCCGTGGTAGAATTTGCCAACCAGGAAAGTGTTGCCTCATTGTTAGAAGGGACGGCCATCCCTAGCATCAGCCATGAATCCCTGGTGCCTTTTAAATCAAGACTGCTGTCAATGAGGAACCTCGACTCAAGGGATGTATTGAACCAGCCATCCATAAAAAAGGGCCAAGCACAAACAAGCATTCCCATCAACGAGCTCATACAGAGACTGTCCAAAGAAGAAAGTGTAAGTGGTTCGGTTATCGCTCCCAGATTTACAGTTTGGAATAATCCAGTGATTCAACTTTAAAGACATATACATTTGTGAATCGATTTTAATGGAAGTCATGTATATGCATTAAGGATTATTCTAACCACACCCTGTGATTTTATTTCCTCTCAGATAGACCAACAGATAACCTCCCTGACAGAAGCTTATCAGCTAACGGAGGAGAACTGCCGACTGCGCTTCCTCGTCTGCTCTCTGCTCAAGGACATTGCAGCTTCTTTTTTCCCAGAATGCACCATCATGCCATTTGGCTCATCAGTGAATGGCTTTGGAAAGCTGGGATGTGACCTGGACATGTTTCTAGACCTGGATGGCATCAGTGGGAAAAATGCAACAATGGTAATAATGGGAGTTTGGGTGTCGGCCTTTAGAAAGACGCCTATAGAGTGCATGAAGTCCAAAGCCACCAGCTGACAATATTACATTTATTTTGCCCGACATACACATTTAGTTTACAAAAATTGTAACTTGTTAAAACCTGGTTATACAATCTTGAATAACAACAAAGAAATATGTAAGCTGACAACACATGTAAGTATTTTAGTACCTACTAATACTGATATAGTGCATATTGAGCCAGAGAAGTCAAAGCACCTCTTTCTACTTCAAACAGATAGGCCTTTATAAAAAAGTGAAACTGCTACCACAATCATTTGCCAGTTTTGAGAGAGCTGAGTTCTGCGGAGTGAAACTGAAGACAGTTGTGAATGGCAAAGACCAAAAATAAATCCAACCAGCAAACTCAGCATGTCTGCATAAAGCTTTTCTTGGAAAATTAAACTATGATACTAAATGAACGTGTTCCTAGTAAAGGATATATAAAAGTTCAGTTAATGATGCTTGGAATTCCTAAATGATATTACCTTAGTAGAGCTATATGTATGTATATATCATTTGGAATGAAGTGGTATTTTATGAGGAACTTGCTTGAAAAAATCTGCGTTGTTTAACTTTTAGGTCATTGATTATTTCCCACCTTGTTATCAAGTTGAATTACATTTAAAAAGGAGCATTAAAGAAAGAATAGATGCAACAATGGTTAAACACCTGCGTTATGCATTTGTAACCAGTATGTAAAGACAAAAAAAAACTAAAACAAATGTATCCATCTACACTCATAACTGCAGGCTGGTGTATTACAAGGAAAATAATGTCATTATTATTGTTGACTTCTTGTAGGTTATTGCTCACTTAGAAATGTCAATGTATCAGCATAGAACTACATCAAAGTATGTTACAAATAATTTAATACATTTTGGTATGCTACATGAAGTCTAAATAAGGTTTTAAAAGCACGTTGTTGTGTTTGTGCTTGCTATGTATACTACAATAATTTAAAGACATTTTGAAACAAATAAGATGCTATAAAGTAAAAATAGTGACCTGTCAAAGAAATTGATGGTGATTTAATAATGATCATTAAACATATTTAAACTCTCTGTGTGCAGCCAAAATCCGGTCTGTTCCTGGAGTACCAGATGAAGAGGGCCAACTTCGAGCGGATCGTCACCCAGAACATCCTGTCCGTCATCGGGGAGTGTGTGGACCAGTTTGGACCTGGGTGTGTGGGGGTGCAGAAGATACTAAATGCACGCTGTCCCCTGGTCCGTTTCACCCACCAGCCCTCTGGCTTTCAGTGTGACCTCACAGCCAACAACAGGTACTCACCCTGTGCGCCTTTACTAGGAGATAACCTGTTTTCCATACATAAACACTATGAAACAATTGTTCGTCATGGCTCTGGGGTTGCAGTGGTTCATTTAAAATGATTCGGTTTCACACTACTATTGGTCATATCTTGAAAGGTCAATCATACTTGCTCATAGGCCTCTTGCTTCACAGAAACTGCTATTTCGTTGTCGTCCTGATATTGATTTGGCAATACTGGCCAAACAGAAACCTGACTCAGGCAGGAAGTGCTGTGAGGGTACAGTTGCACCCCTGCTGGAGTAAAACTGAACATGAAGCTTAAAAGGAGGGCTTGTTTGTGTTTCACTTCCTCCCTGTGACCTTCCTACCAATGATAACACAAACACCTACACACCTGCTAACGTACAGAGAAACCGCTCTGCAGTTTCTAAGGAAATGGAGGGGAACCATCAAAGGTGGTGGGTGGATGTGAGGGGGACTTTTCTTATATTGTGCTGGCAGATCTTTCAAGCGCAGCTCTTTCCTGCCTGAGGTTTCTGTGCGCGCATGTGAAGGGAAACCAACAGCAGTGTGACTGACGCAGCCACTATGACAATCTGAAGGCTGCTCCCTAGTGGTGCTTTTCATATGATTTCATTTTCACTGACCCTTGACATTAAACAGTATTTTATCTCATGAACTTGGGAGGTAAAGATGTTTTGGAATACAAATATATGCGGACAAATACTGGGACCTAATGTCATGAAGATAAGGATTGGACTGGCATTAAGAGGTTCATACTGATGCTTTCCTTGAAATCTACTGAAAGAAAAAAATTGTGCAACGTAAAAATATTGGTTAAGAGCATTAAAATTATGATCTTTTCACAAATATAGTACATATTAAACACACATATTATCATAAGGATTGACACCCTGAAACACATAATTATCTGTAGGTAACCCATTGACAAATCCATTGGTTTAATAGCAATACAACCAGCCAAAAGTCAGTCATATATACAGTATATTACAAAATTCTGCACGATATTGTTTATTTCCGCAATTTATTTCCTGTTTTAATATACTTAATTTCTTGGTTATTGATGGCAGCATGTCCTATTTTGATCAGCAAGACGCTGAACTTCAATCCAAATACAACAATGTATGAAGTGCACTTGTATTGGAAGTCTCAACACTGATATCAAAAGAGCCCCATCAAAACATGCAGTAGTAGTAACTTTGTGTGTTCTCCACAGGGTGGCGATGAAGAGCACAGAGCTGCTCTATCTGTACGGAGAGCTGGACCCACGGGTGCGTCACCTGGTGTTCACCGTGCGCTGTTGGGCTCGAGCTCACGGCATCACCAGCAGCATCCCCGGGGCCTGGATCTCCAACTTCTCCCTCACCATCATGGTGCTGTTCTTCCTGCAGAGGAGGAGCCCCCCTATCATCCCAACCCTGGACCACCTCAGGGACCTTGCAGGTACCACCAAGCACTTCTTCTCACTTAGTAAACATGTCAGTTTAAAGCAGAGGGTTCCTTTGTTTGTTATCAACGTTTTGTTGCCCATTCTATCCACAATTTATGAAAAAATTACCTGGAAACTTAAAGACCCCGTGAAGTGTGCGCCTGTGCATGATCTGTTATGCTAATACGTATAGTAATGACCAAAATTGTCCATTGGAAACCATATCAAAAGATGTTTGGAATAGGCAACGAATTTGACGAGTTTTGAATTTGCCGCAGTTGACCTCCGCCTTCGTGGGCGTGGCTTGCGATCTACTGCGTGACGTCACGAGATGGTCGCCGCCGAAGTGTTTACATTCATCATAGTTTATTGTTTCTCTGTTTCAAAGTCGAATTTATCAAAGTTTTTGAGCGAGTATTTTACTGGAAAGTGTGTCGGAGTCGACTGGAAGTGATTGCCAATCGATTGTCCATTGGAACCATATCAAAAGATGTTGGAATAGCAACGAATTTGACGAGTTTTGAATTTGCCGCAGTTGACCTCCGCCTTCGTGGGCGTGGCTTGCGATCTACTGCGTGACGTCACGAAATGGTCGCCGCCGAAGTGTTTACATTCATCATAGTTTATTGTTTCTCTGTTTCAAAGTCGAATTTATCAAAGTTTTTGAGCGAGTATTTTACTGGAAAGTGTGTCGGAGTCGACTGGAAGTGATTGCCAATCGAGAAAACCTGACAATGGAGGCGACAGTGAAGAAAAAGGGAGGAAAAACACACGGGAAGCGATGCATTGCCGCTGGCCGTATTAATGTCAAGTCTGCCGAAGTGGCGATGTTTCTGTTCCCAAAAGATGAAGGTGAGCCTGGCTGGTGTCATTGTTTCGTAGATTCGTTGATTGTTCATGACAAATAAAGGCCACTGGTCGATTCGAGAGAGAGAGAGAGACTGAGAGAAGTTACAGGGTTGTTGTTAGCATCCTGGTGCTAGCTCGGAGCTAACGGAGATTAGCTGTTTCAACATATAAGGAGAGGAGTCCTCTCCTGTGGGACTGAGAGAGATAAGTCAGCTCAGGGAGGTAAAGGACTCTGAGTGATTAGATTGTAAACTGTAGCATAAGTTATCTCAGTGGGTTTAATAATTTAATAGTTTAATAATACTCTAGCACATGTACATAAGCTAATTATTTCCCAGAGGCTGAGCCCAAGCAGAGATTTTAAAACAAGCAAAGGGACCTTCAGGTCTCACGCCCCCCCCTATTTTCCAATCGACAGTGACGCACAGTCACTGCTAACCTGCTAACCATTGCAGTGTTCTGTAAGCCGGTCAATGTCTTCCCCATCGTCCATGTCGTCGCCATTATCCTCCCCACTTGACGTCCCTGACGGCTCAAATCTGTAGGGTTCAATGATGTCCTGCACTTCCATCTTCTGTGCCACTTTCCTCATCTATCCTGTCAAAATCAATCATTTCTCTCGCACTTGTATCACTTTCCAAAGTCTCCGCCATGTTTACAATCACAACAGGGCCCATCTTGTGACGTCACAGCCGCTATCGTCTGCAACTTCCGGTAGGCTTAGACGGCCGTAATTATTAAAATTAATAATGAAATTAAGTAATAATTAAAAATTATTTTAGCCATGAACAGGCGCAATGATATGTAAGGAATGAAACTGCCATTTCATTTTGGCGCAAAAACATGCACTTCACGGGCACTTTAAGTGAAATCTCTTCTTCTCAACTAAGTCCACACCTTAATGTTGTGTTTTTTTTCTTCATACATTTAACTTATTTTATTTTTTTCTTCGAAGAATAACTTAACCACTAAGTATACTCAAGTAAGGTGAGCTTTCATCATACAGTGCAGCTGCGGTCTAAAGGTATTTTGACTTGCGAGCCCTAAAAATGAAGCCACTTAGGACTTTCTCACATTTGTGTTTACCAGTGACGTTCTTCCCTCTTTTTCAAGATAAAGTAATCTAATAATTCATAGAAAACAAAACATGTACAAGTACACAGCCGAAAATAATCCGCCCTTTCCTTCAGACTTCCTTACAGAGCACCTCCTCCAACACACATGAACGCGCACATGACGTCAGCAGACTGGTGAAAGTGGCCGCCTGTTGCTGGCGAGTCATTGAAGTACTGCTGCAATGCACGCCCAATGAGGGCACGAGATACATTTGTGCGTGCACAAGATGGAAGGCTGACGACCCGTCCGTAATAACAGACAGGGCGGCAATCCAATCCGTTTAGCCGGCCCGGCTAAACGGATTGGTTGTACTTTTTACAGTATTACGGCTTCCACAGATGACATTTTTTAATGGATTTTTTGTCAAAGCACTTAAGATATTCATTGCTATCGTGATGTTAAGAGCATTCCATGGAATATAACAAAAAGTGTATCTCGAGCCGGTTTCTGAAACTTACCTACCCCACCTTTAAGGAAATTATAAAGGTATAAGATGATGTAGCATAAATGATTCTTTCCTATCCTGTGAACAGGTCTGTAACCCCACTGATCTGTAGAGTATCTTAGCTCTGACGTAAGATTAGACAAGATAAGATATAGACCTTAATTGACCCCCGTAGTGAAATGCAGGTGTTATAGCAGCAACAGAATAAGAGAGTGTTACGTCCCCAGCTCGCTTAGGGTAAAAGGGAAGCAACACGAAACCAGGTGTTCTTGGTAAGAGGTTGATTTTAATAATAAACTCAAAATAAAGATGATATAACCAAAAATACAGGCTCTTAAAACCAGCTATCTGTTCAAAATAACGCTACACAAAATGAAGGCCACAGATTATCACAGTCATGGGCCCTTAAGGCTAAAATAGTGAGGCGTCTCGCACAAGTTCGACGCCGTCACAAATCACAGAATACACACTTAAGCACACACCCTAACTAACCACTGTAGCAGAACTAGCACAGAGCTACACAGAACATAAGGAGAGCACCGAGAGACGTCTGACACAGATTCAGACCTCTCCCGTCTAACTGAGATGCACACACTCTTGTAAGAGTCCCCGGAAGGTGTGGGCAGGGATTGGTGAGTCGGGCCCGACCTGCTCCAATCCAGATCTTCGGTCACGCCTACCGGAGGAGGGACAGGAAACTGGCATCCAATGGCGTCCAGACAACGGCGCATCTCATATACATATAACATACACAGCTGAAAACAATCCCAGACAGGTTAACGAGCAGACAGCAGCAGCAGCAGCAGCAGCAGCAGCAGCAGCAGCCGTGACAGAGAGAAACACAGGAGATAAGAGTTCAAACAAGAATTAGGAGAATACAAAATAATGGTAAACATGTACAGTATGTTACAGTATCAATAAGAATAATATAGGGTAAAACATTGAATTGCCGAACTTAATTATATATACTGATATCAGTGAAATGTCTTATGTTCATACAGTGCTATTTGTTTTTAAATAAGTGTCAGCTGTTTTATTTATTTCTACAATCTAATTCCTTTTGGCTCTGTAGGTGACTTAATGTCATATTTCAAATCACCATGCATACAACTGTAATAAATGTCTCCTGTGATCATTTAACCACCAGTCCACTGCAGTTCCTTCATCCCCCCCCCTCCCTCTGTCACCTTGGCTGCCTTGATAATTGCCTTCCAAAAGCAATCTACCCCCCATCCCTCTCCTCCACCCCCTCCTCCTCTGCCCCGTTTAGCGTAGACTCTATCACACAGAGTGCTTACAGTACAATAAAAAGCCCATCTCTCTGTGAAGGTCGATGACCCCGCCTCTGCCGGACACACACGCACGAGCATACAGGCAGCTATTTAAACAGTGGTGTAACACAGACTATACAGCACCACCTGCAGTCTTACTGTAGTGAAGAATACTGTTAACAAGGGCAGTGGTGGAGCCAAGCAAGGACACGATCTAGGCCCCCTTTTTTTTCTCTTCTTTGACCATCTTTGACACGCATGTACACACACCTGCTCCCCCTACTGTGTCTTACTGTTACCTCTCCACGAAACACACTTCCACCATCTGTCTATGTCTTGTTTATGGCCATCATATGCGTGTAAAGGCAGTCATTTAACTGGTGTCCCTGATCTCGTCCCACAAGGTCCCGAGGACAAGAGCGTGATTGAGGACAACGACTGCACGTTTGTCAGCGACTTCAGCAAGATCCAGCTCGAGAGCAACACAGAAACACTGGGTGAGCAGGAGAGCGTAGAAGCCAGGCTGTAGGGCTACGGCTCAGTTTGATTTATACCCTTGTTTCTGTTTGCTGCTTACTTGACTTTTTTTCTTGCTTTTTTCTTAGAGCAACTGCTGTGTGAGTTCTTTGAGTTCTACGCCTCCTTTTGCTTCAGTAAGCTGTCAATCAATATCAGAAAGGTATGTATGATTATTCACATTCATTAAGTCCGATGTAACAAACGTGGCCCAATTATGATAATCAGCTTTACAGGGCTCTTTATTAAGTTTATGTGCATTGTTAAGCACTTAGATTGATCAGGCGGACACAAACATTACTTCAAATGAAGGATAATGTTGCTCCAGCAAATCAAATTAAAGGTGATAAAATATATCCTTGTTATGGTTCAGCTATTTAAGGTTTATGCCCACATTTTAACCACTATTCAGACATGTATTGTTGGCCATACACAACAGTTACAAAGGTAACCCTGCTAGTTCAGAACTAGTAACAATGTTGTCATACTTTCAACTGAGAACATTTGAATGCTGTCGGCTTCAAATAAAGTCAGCATCAGCACATATTTGGATAGATAAATATGTTCAAAGAGAAACAAAACATGTTTTTGCCTTAATATGAATACTGTTTTAAACGTATCCCTCGAGCATAATCTCTTTTCACACAAAAATATTAAATAAACCAGGAAACAACCAACTGTGATTGAGCTCATTTATGTTGTTGAGGAGATTCCCTCACATTTTAGGAAGAATAAATGTTAAAAAAACACATCATACAGCAGCAATAATAATCAGACTGGTGTTCCTTCACCAAATGTAATGTATGTTATATTAATTTCCTTCCATCATGCACAGGTCACCTTTGTCTGAATGACAATAAGCGGTCACTTACAAACAAACAACAACAAAAACAGTGTGTTGTCTGATAATGGCTCTAGTCTCTCTCTTGTGGACTTTGTAACTGGGCAGGAGCTGCTGTTATTGTCACCCAAGCTGTGATTTCATACCAAATATCAAAGATTTGTTTGATTTACTTCAAATACTGTCAAAGTTATTAAGTTTGTCCACCAGAGAGCAGAGTATTCTTTAAAATACCACATTAGAGGGATTGCGATCAAAGTGGTTTGTGTGTGTGATGTGTATGTGCTAAAGAAAAAGGACATAATAACTATATGTTGTTTTAATAGTTTTAAGTTTAACTGCCTTGAAAATCCAGTGCCAATCAAGCTCTACTTACTATAAGTTCCCATCATAAGTCCATCTTGCAACTTGGATGACTTAAAATGTAACTTCAAAATCCAATGTTGCATCACTGAAAAACCAGAACATAAATACAAATCTTTTCAAAAATAACACACCCTGCTCAGCCTCCTTTCCACATGAGCTCACAGCCACAGAGCTGAGCTGCAGCATAGAAATCTGTTGGTAATACAGTCAGTGTTTGGTGCATGGCATCTTCCCACACACACAGATGACAGCTGTCCTTGTCAAAAATGATTGATGCCAGCCCCACAGTGCCCGGCGCCCTTGAGCTGTGATCCCAATTAGGAGCTCCATCAGGCTGAGTGTAAACAAACGCATATTCAATATATTTAGAGCCACATTTCAGTCTGTTGTTGACTGTGTAATTTTACTTTTTACAGGCACTGAAAGAGCATCCACAATGGAACTTTTTATAAATAAAATGCGTAGGAATGATTAACATAAAAGTTACTATTTTACCAACTTTAAAACCTACCTCCTAGAACATTTAATAATATCCTATGTATCATCTATTACTTTTACCCTAGAATTGTATTTGATAAAGTAGGTGTTAATGCTTGGGTGGCACATTTATATAAGATGCAGGGCTACGCTTCGGCTGAGAATTTAATGGATGCCTCTGGAAAAGAGACCCTGGAGCTTAATATATGAGACTAATATCAAGTTTGACACAGCATAAGAAACCTGCAGGTACACTGCAGCCGTGACCCGTACCTATAGGTTTTCACCAGTGGAGCAACATCCATAAATCTCCTTTACTGTGCTACAATTCTCCAATTCGCTCCCATTCTCTGACTGATAGCTTTATGTCACCATCGTCTACCCCCCCTCCACAGCTCCATCACTTTATCCTTCCAGCCCCTTTACTGTCACACTTTAAGCTGGGTATGGCATGCAAAGTACCATGGGAGGGTCTTGACTTTTCTCTGACCCACAGATTGAGGGTTCATTTGATGGCCATGACTGCTAGATAGAGGATCAGATCATACATGTTTCCGTTGCTAACACATTTGATGTGTCTAGCAGGTTTCCAAAGCAGTTAGCTCATTCCCATTCTTCACAACTCAAGTCGAAATGTTTTCCAGAGCCAGGTCCATGCCTATCCCATGTGGTAACCTGCTGAGAGGCGTTCCAGTCAGCTATATGTTCCACAGATAAAGCAGCAAAGACCTATAAGCATGACCAATATATGGACCATAAAATACAGGACTGCTGCTATTGCTCAAGAGTGTGTATTCATCTGCCGGCCTTGTCCCATTCCTCCTCTCCAGGGCAAAGAGCAGAACAAGCTTCCGGCAGTCCCGCTGCACATCCAGAACCCGTTCGAAACCACTCTGAACGTCAGCAAAAACGTCAACGCCTCACAGGTAGACCGCTTTGTGGCTTTGTGTCAGGAGAGCTCATGGCTGATCCAGCAGAATATAACCGCCCCGTCCAGAGGTGGTACTAAAGGAAATGCTACTATCACACCTTGGGGAGTATCTACCCTCCTTCTGCCCTCCCAGGTTGCAGGGATCAAAAGTCGCAAGAGACGGAAATTCGAGCCGACGAGCGAGAGGATCAAGAGCTTGCTGGAGTCCTTGAAGAATACCAACAATCAACCAAATCAAAGTTAAACTCTTTGAGGTCGCAGCTCCATCGTTTTACTATCACTTTAGCTAATGCATTGGTCAACTCCACCGTCTAGTGTACTTTTCTGGTGCCTCACTGAGAAGGCGAGGAGCAGCTTTAGCCTGTCACTGAGGCTTGTATGTGCATATATTTGGGCCTGCAAAAAGGGAGTTATTACTATGTACTATACTGTGGACTTCCCTACTCTGTTGTAATTAAAGCAATTTATGTGTGAACTGATGCAAATCTCTCCAGATGCTTTTTGGAACAAAAACTACCCTAACATTTGAATATATCTCAAACAACAAAAATCATTATGAATATATTTTTTTTAATGAATATTACAATACGGACAGAATGATCAAGATTTTATTGCAAGTTAACACTGGGTTTGTTTAATATGGCACTCAAAAACTGACAGAGTATGACATGCATCAGAAATAAACCAGAATACACAACTTCTATTAATTAAAAATAGTTTATTGAAAATATGAAACGTAATGCCTTTCTTTATTATTCAAAATCTCTGAAAGATGGATATTTTTGTTTTAATGTTTCCAAGTCTTCCAGTAACTTGATAGAATAAATGAAACCACTATTTATTTCACACCTGTGTATTTCTCTGACATGCTCATATTGAATTTGAACCCCTGATGTGTAACGTACTAGAGAATGAAGAGGACTTAGTGGCAAGTTACAGTAGCTTACAAAACACTGCTGGCTAAGCACACTTGGCATGCTTTTCACCTATAGCTACTTAGCTAAAACAGTCCTCATAAATCAATGCTATACAAAATGAAGTTAATAATCCATATAACAGTAGCTTCGCATTATAAACTTGTGTGACTAGCAAAATCGTTTTAATTGGCAAGCTACTGGAAACAAGCCTCTATGCCAACTAGCTGGTAATAGATATTCTATCTCTTTGTTTCCATTAATTGCCAGTTGATTGAATTCTTAATTTAACCAAATAAGATTGAAGTAATGCAGTCCACTAATGCTATTAATAATTATGTTAGCTTCAGCTAGTTAAGTAGAGTTACTTGTCCTTAATTATCTCAGCTTTGTTTCCATGTAAGCTAGCTAGTCATGAAGTCTGATGCTCTACTCTTATGCATCGCTGATCATAAGGAACATCTGGTAATTATTCTTGGAGAAATACTTTTACGTTTTATGTTATCTATATTTATAAGTGGTAAAGAAAACTAATTGTTCAAATTGGAGATTAAAATAAAAGTATGTAAATCTGTTTTCACACTGCATTTTAATGTAGTTAATGTATTTACCTTAGACTTCACAGTCTACATTTTTACTGCCTTTTGTACAGTATAAAAAAACACTAAAGGGCTTCTTTTTTTTTTTACATTTCATCTGGATTTTAATTTTATGAGCAGAAGATCTAAAACAGTGACATAATGGTGGTTGCGTGTGTTAAATATATACAGAAGTAGACAGCCCATCAACTTGGCCATCCAGTTCATTGGAACCAAAGTCAGCCAACTTTGTGGCAAAGTCTGTTAAATCGATTGACCTCTCTGAAAACCCTCTGACATGTCGTATAAAATATGTGAAATAAGACATACCACTTTAACTCTTAATTCAGTTTCCAACTTAGCCGCTAATCACAATGCCCTAAATGTTGTTAGAAGAACAAAGAGGTCATTCTTTTTCCCAAAGTTACATAAGCTGAATGGATGTGTGTCTGTGAGTTAGAGGAAAGAGAAAAGACCTTGGGGTGCATGTGTTAAAAGTGCATCTGCAGGTTCACGTCCTATGAGTGTGCCTGAGTGTGTTTGTATGAGTGTTTAGGGCCCATGGGACAGTGTTTGAGGAGCAGGGAGTGTGCAGCCCACAGCTGGTTTTCCACTCATTGCTTTGGGAGGTCAGGGGGGTGAGAGGACAGACTTTTAACTACCTACCCTACTACCACCCGTCCTTCCTTTGACACAGATGGGAGAAAAGGACTGAGGCAGAAGACGGCCCATCACCCCCTCGCCTCGCACCCCCCTGGTTTTGAACTTCACTCACTGTCCCTGCCTCCTTTGTTCTAGCCTACATTTTTATTTTAAATTCTGTGGGCCTCCTGTCTTTCTATCATGATCATCTCTTTTCTCTCGGAGTGGCAGCGTTCTTTGAGGTTTGCTGAGATTGTTTATTTCCGTGAGTGAGTGGATATGAAACGAATTAATCTAGTAATTAGTATTCGATAAAATTGGACTGCTGTGTGCTATTGGATTTTTCAAAGGAGCTAGAGTTCAGATTGTTCTTTTTATTTGTATGTGGTGGTTTAAAATGTGCTGTAGGCTACTGTATGATTTGTATTTATAGACTCCTTTGGTAGCACTCCCTCCATTTATTGAACAGTTTATGGGGTAATTACGAGGATAGATAGAAACTGTGGCCACTTGCCGAAAGGTTGCCACAGGTCAAGGTTAATGATATTTCTTTCTAGCTTGTCTTAACCATTGCAGTGGCAAGGTTGTATGTGACCAACTCCCGGCGATAGAGCTCTTAAGACAGCAAAGGGACCAAGGTTGTGTTTAGCTAACCTGCCCAGCAGTGACCTTTCTTAGAGGTGTTTGAAGGCGGCACACTGTGGGATCTGATTGATTAGTAAAACTGGTGAAAAGTGTAAGATGGATTGGCCCTCTCTCAGGAAGTCCAGAGGTTCAGCGGTGCGATGACCGGAGTTTATGTTGCTGCCTTTTTTCTTGGCTCCTAATGCGCCTTCAGAGCCTAAAAGAATGTAAAAAGGTGGCCTGAGGGTTTGAAAAACATGGGAGGGATTTTAGGAAACTCGTTGAGGGAGGAAAAGAAAGGAAAAACACCAAGAAATGAAAAACATCTTGGCACGATGAAATGCCCCCTAACATGTTCAAGTCCTGAGCAGCTTCTTTCACAGAGTGCTGTGAGCATTCAAGCAAAAGCCTCTGGAGAACAGGGTGTTTGATGTGAAGGCCTTATCTGTTCGAGCCTTTTTCAGAAGTTCTTTTTTTATCAAGCTTTCCAATCAATACGCCACCCCTTCCACTTACCTCCACCGACTCCACAAAGACCTGGGAGCAGTATTGGGAACCTAATCTCCAAAACACTTCCCCTTGCAGTTCCACGAATTGTCCTTTCAACATTGTGAGAGGTCATTACGCTGGTTTCCTTGGTTGAGGGACAAGCGTCCTGGAGGACCAAGCTTCCCCGCATACTCCAGGTTTTCCAACACCACAGTTGGCTGTGAATAAGACGTGCTGAAAGGGAGCAAGGAGCGCTGGAATGCACTTGTCCAAGCAGAGTCCCCTAAAGGTTATCACTGTGTGTATCTCTGGCTTCAGAGTAACTACTGCATAACTGCAGGGATGTGTACTGGCTGTGAAATGTGCTTATTGAAAGCTACATTCAAGTGACCCCAATCCAAATGCGGCAGCCTGTCTCTCCATTTTCCATCTCCCTCTACAATGAAGTCATGAGGAAAACTATTGGCAACAGGCTGGATAATGTTTTACACTATGTGTTTTCGTTGTACGGGAAGGCCTGGGACTGACTGTACCCACCAACAGTACCATTGTTTCAGTGTAGGACTGCTTAATTGGAGCCTGGCACAGAGTTACTGGCAGCCAAGGTCTCCGAGTGTCAGCGACCGACCGTGGTGGTTTTACATTCTTTCTCTCACTGGACAGTAGAGAGGCTGCATCCATTCAATACTGGCCAGAGCAGGCCCCAATTGAGACAGTGACTCTATGCTGTGATTGTTGATGAACTGTCACATGGATATGCCACACACAAGCACACATGGCTATTGTATCACTGCGATCAGGGTATGGATATGTATCTATAGAAACGCACCCACTCATCCACAGTGCACCAAGCTCTCCTGGGTTCCTGTACTCCGTGACTAGAGAATGAATGTGTGATGCCACATACACCGTATACATTTGACACCAAGTCCCCAGAGCTTAAGCTGCTACCATTACCACTACATATTCTGTTGAAGCTGCCTTGGTGCCATAAGAGGCTAAAACTAATATGATGTACAGTGTTCAGTTATTGTTGAGCGTTTAGTTCCTCCTTGTATTTAACATATTAGAGTAATGGTTTCATTTACAGGTCCGTAATATCCTAATAATTTCCAAGATAATTTGGTATATTACAGGGTGACAACTGTGTACTTTTCTTTTAGACATATTTCTGACTTTTGCATTAACAGCTGACTGGCTAGAGACTGACTATAAGACTCCAGACATAAAGTCTACGTTTATGTTTTTCAAAGTTAAGATTAGATAGCTACGTTTCCTTACCGCAACCTTTTTTTAAGACTTTTCCTCTGTTATTACAGGACATTTTCCATTGAAAAATTCTACCACCAGAGGTGATGAAGTTAAACCTATTATAATGAAAATAGAAGCATTTCACTGAGTACACTTCCATTAAATCTTTCCAATGTATGCAAATATACCCTAGGGACTCATGTAATGAATGTATGTATACAGGTATGCACAGAAGACTTTTCCTGTTTGATTATATAATAAGTTCCAAATAACATAGTTACTTAGGAAATATTCAGAGAATTGTCTGAATTAGTGGCTAGACTACTCTTGTATTTGAACTCCAACAACTTATCAGAATTATGTTTTAATTGCTAAAGTCACTAAGTTCACACTAAATGTTGACACTTTTTTTTAATTTGAACTGCCTCCATTGCAAAATATTTGGAAGCAAAGTTGTGAAAACGAATTGACAGGGGTAGACATTAAGGGTAAAAAGCCACTGGCCCTCCGGGCCGGTAGAATTGTATTGTCACTGGCCCCCCCATTGTAACCACTGGCCCGGAGCATTCGTCCAAAAAAAACGACTAATAATGAAGAAAATGAACACATTTTTTGCAATAGTAATTTATGCACTAACTACATTACTACTTGTACTACAACATTTGAACAATCAGTTCAATTTTCCTCAATTGTTCATATTTGGTTTATTAAAATAATGATATTGTGGTCATTGTTAAAAAATGTCAGCTATGAGTATTATTATTTGTATAATGCACTTTCTGCCTTCCTGTCATTAGGAGTTAGACATGTAATGGCTATAGATTAGATTAGATCCTTCATTATCCTAAACTGCTGGGACATTTCCCTAAAGCCAATACCTTTATATTGTCTACTCTTCACTTACTTGTCAGCATAGGTCGGCATTGATGTACAGAGCCGACAGAAGATCTTGTTTATATTGGCATCATATTGAGTGGTGCAGCCAGTGACGCATCCTAAAACCAGGAAGTAAGCTGCTGGTTCCCTCGACAAAAAGCAATGGGATTTCTCCACAGGGTTTTGGAAAATAGCTGGAAATAAGGTCTGTGGAAAACAAACCTGTTTGATAAATGCACGTTTTGTTCAGCCGGATAATCTCCACATGTCTACCCTACTTTTATAATTTTCGAATCATAAATCTAATCGATGGATTATAAAAGGGTTTTAGGATGCGTCACTGCACCACTAGAAGC